TAGCATCTCAGCCTGGTTTCACTAGAACAGATATGAGCAATGCTGAATGACTATATTCCACACTGAATTCTGCCCCACAAACTGATACCAACTTGGCACCTGATATGCGCATCCCATACAATTTACATACTAGTTAATTAAGAGTCAAAGCACCCCTATGATGGGGTAGGGTTACCCTATCCTAATTTCATCAAGAGCTAGGGTTTCACTACGCAAAACAAGCGGTTTCATTCAGTCCTGCATTCGGGTGAGCAACCTGTTCTAGTTTGGAACAGTCTCCATGGCTTCCGATATGCGACTAGGTCGATTGGTGAAAAAGGGTACCTCAGCAAGACCACCAAATATACCTCTCGCTCCTAACACCGAGAAGTGAAAGGAGGATCGGTACAGCGGTAGTCCAGATCTAACGTTTATGTTCCCATCGTGGCAGAGCCCGAAACCGGTCAGCCTTATGGCACGCTTTTCTAGGCAAGCCTCAGGCAAACCGCTCAGGAATAGCAGATGGCAAACACTATGACTTAGGCGCACCTATGCAAATGCAATGCAATGCAAAGAAACACATAAATGTAGATAAAACAACATATCATGAGTTCAAGTCAAGTTCTCTAAATCCCCAACAAAGTTGCCAAAAACTGTGGACTCGACTTTCTTCGCGCCCCCTTTCGGAGAGCTCGAATTAATCGTACAGTTCAGACTCCTATCACGGTTATGAATCTAATCTCACAAAGTGCAATGTGAGACTGATAAACACCAAAGAGTCCAATCCGGCAAATCATTTTGGAAAATCTGATTTTGAATCAAATAATGCCAAAACTGAAATACTTTGCCAGATTACAGAGTGGACACCTAAATATTTTATTTTTGAAAAATTTAAAAAACGATGACTCGTGCCAAAGGCCACGTGTCCATCATCATCAAAATTGCCTTGGCTCGAGAACTTGGGTACGAGAGGGAAAGGTCCTGAAATGAGCACTCCCGCTGGCCCGATCAAAAGATCGGCCTCTACTAATCATGATATGTTGTTTTATAAACCTCATGTGTTCTTATTCTAGTTATTAACTAACATTACTATGTGGCGCACGCGCAAACAAGTATAGCCTAAATCGCAAGAATTGGAACAAAACAACTCATGTTTGTTTTCGAAAATGGTTTGAAAGTACCCACCCTCAAGTGGGCTAAAGCGCGGATTTGACACCCTCAGGTGGGCTTAACACATGATTTGCCACTTCGCAAAGTGGGATTAAAAAAACTCACATTCATCGAATTGTTCCAATTCAAGCAATCAAACCTTCATCCACAGACATTCATGCAGCTTAACAAATAAGCACATAGCATCATGGCAAGCATGCTATCATGTCAACACTCATACTCATGCAAGTATGCTAAAGCGTAAAACTTACAATGTACTCCGAGCCAAAACAAAAGCTAGTTAAAAATATGCATGATCCTAACTATGTAAAATGCCTAATGCAACACATGTAATAATGCAATTAATAGGCTCGGCTGACTAAATATGAATGCAACAATTTGATAACATACTGTTAAACACGTATTCAGATAAGTTTATTGAAGTATGATGCAGGTTGAATGATGCGCCAAGCCCGGTGCATGCAAGACAAATGAATGATGCAAACATGCAAGCATAAGTTATGCTAATTGAAAATGATCCCTAATCTAACCATCGAAAGCGGGTAAATAAAAGGGAGAAAGACGCGAGGTTGGAAGACATACAGAAACGAACGCACACTTATTACAACATTGTGCCCTCTCGAAGGAGGGTCCAAATGAATAAATAGCTAAGCTACTCTAGGCTAAGCTAATGAAATTAATCTAATTAAACTAATTAGACTAATTATTACAAACCAAATGAATAACTAGTAAACTAATTACTAATTATTACAACACAACATAAAGAAATAGCTAAGCTAAAGCTACTTAATTATTACAACAATCAATGCAAATTAACCAAGTAATTAACATATTAAACTATGCTACTACTACTCTGCTCCGGGAAGTAGAAGATGCATGCACTCGGTTTTTCACCCCAAAATGCCCACCGGTTTGCTCTTGAGAGGCTCTGTTTGCAAGGTTACTCCAAGAACTTTCTGCTCCACCTTACCAAACCAATGCTGAGGACTGCACCAGTGGCCTGCCAGCCACGAGAGATTGCTGCCAGCCATTTGCCGGCCAAAGGTGTACCTCTGCCGGCCAAGGATGAAGCACTGCCGACCATCAGTGAGCCACTGCCGGCCACTGGTGTGCTGAATCACCACACTGCAACAAAGCACAAACAGAGGAAAAGTGAGGGTTTTCCACGGATGTGTTTGTACTATGCCCCTCCTCATCATCTCAAAACATCAAAGGAGTGGCATTCTTGGATCCAAAACCACCGATCAAGCATTTTCAATGCATGATGGACAAAGATCCAAGTTGCACAATTTTAATAAATGCACAAAAACAAGACTCAAAGGACCACCACCCCTATCATGCATGATCAAGGGTGATGGAGACTAAGGAGATTGGCTTATTTCATCACTTTGAGTATGAAATGGACCAATCTACCTTGTGTTCAATATAACGTCCGATTGAACACATGCAATGCAAACACAATATGCTTATATTGGTCATGTTTTACTTGTCCAATTTTGTTTACACATTTTAGCATTACCAAATCATTCTTTAATCAATTTGTCCAACATGAGTGTCCTCTAATGAGAGAGGGGTCAACCAAAGGATGGTTTAAGACATTAGAGAGATCTTGCCTTTGGTTAGGAGGAACCCTCAAAAGAGGGTTAAAACCATTGAGCACAAGCTCTATCTCAAGCTTAAACACAACCCTAACATTAACCAAACCTCAAAGCAAATGAAAAAGTGAAGAAATGAGTGAGGTTGAAGATATTTAAGTGCTGAAATGGTATGAAAAATGATATTATAACATGCAAGCAACTCATGCACAACATGTTCAAAAGCCAAAAACACTAAACTAGTGAAGATCACAACACTATAAGCATGCAACACAGAGCCTAACTAACTAAACCAGCTCTGGATAGAGCTAAAACATGCCAAAACAATGACTTAAACATGCTGAAATTGAAGCATAAAAAGCTAGAAAAACATACTCACATGTTAGCCCACAAACAAGACTCAAGGCACAACTCTCAAAAGCAATAAAAGAGTGAAATAAGTGAGAGTGTGACAGAGCTATATACACTGAAATCACATGCAAAATGATTCTATAACATGCAAACCACTCAAGAAAAACATGTTAAAGGCCTTAAATACTAAGCTAGTGCAGGCATTTGCACTGCAACCATACAAGACAAGGCTCATACTGAGATCATGCTAAATCAGTAGCAAAAACATACTGAAATCAAGTCACAAAGAGGTAGAAAAACATGCTCACTTGTTAGGCTGTCTACACTTGCAAACAAGACACGAGGAGGGGAGGCCACCCCCTCTATTTTGGACCTCAAAACATGGTTTTTACCCCCGAAAATTCTCTGAGTTTCAGTGGTTAAAAGGCCAAAAGAGAGTTGTTTTAAAAGTTTTGAAAGATGGCACAACAACTTAGCAAGAAAGCTACAAGGGTGGACCACCCTCATACTCAAAATAGCCTCAAGTATGCAAGCTTCTAAGCACAAAAGCTCAAGAGAGAGAGAAATGTAGAGAGGGAGAATTGTAGAGAAAGAGGCCCCTAAAATTTTTCTTCCTCAAATGTTCTAACCTTCAAGACAATAGAGAAGGCTCTCTATATATAGAAGAATGAGACTTCACGTCGAAAATATCCCAAAATGGACAGCTGGAACAGCTAAAACACAAATATCTGCAGAAATCTGACTTTTTGCATCAATGGCCGGCACATGTCCATTCTTGGCCGGAAAGGATCACTCTTGGACGGCACCTGTCCGGCATAGGCCATTCATGGCCGGCACATGGCCGGCAAAGCCCATTCATGGCCAGAAACTTTCAGCTCTAGCTAGCTAGAAAAATCTGCTTTTTGGGTCCAACTTCAAATGGAAATATCGCCTTCATCTGGAATCATTAGCAGGTCATTCTTGAGCCTAAATTGAAGCCTTGGAAGTCTTCTTTCCAGTGGTGTCAACCTCACATCAAAATTCTAAGCGTGCAAGAAGATATGCCTCTTTTAGTGAAGACTGCTCTATTTCAATCATACCCGGATTCATGCCCAACTTCTTCTCCAACTTGGTTTCTTCTCTCCACTTCAATTTTCTTCAACCCCAAACCTTTAAATAAGATGTTTTAAAGATTTTTCTAAAGAGTTCATCTCTCTTCCATTCATTTCCACTTTGTCCTTGCTCGGTTTACCTTAAAGCGCAACATTTAACGAAATGCGAGCCTCGAAACATCGTAGAAACTTTTTTTTCAAAAATGTTTTGAAAGAGAGGGTTTTAAGGTCTAAAAATCATTTTGGTGAAAATAGTTTCGGTCCAAAAAAGGGTGTGAGGTTTGGATTTGACGCCCTCATTGCCAAAGAAATCGAACTTTTGCACAAGATAGCCTGCATCATCGAGTAAGCAATCAGTGGCGCCCATGTCTTAAGGGTGATCAAAAACGGGGTGTCTACAGTTGCTATTGCACGATTTTGATCCCCGATGGCCTATTTTCAAGCCTAAGTGTTGGAAAAGTGCCTTTTTTTTTTACTTAGTTTTCAAACCAGGAGTCTCGTGCTAGTTCCGTAAGTTTCCACAACTTACAGTGGTCCCTCCCAAAGTGTTAGGGGTGTTTCCGAGCCTTCTCATGGCTTTTTCACGATTTAAGCCCTCGATGGCCTATTTTCAAGCCTAAGTATTGGAAAAGTGCATTTTTGGACTTAGTTTGAAAAAGTGTATTTTTCTACATAGTTTTCAAACGTTTTCAAATCGGGAATCCCGTCCTATATCCATGCGTATATTATTATGACTCATGAAGATGTATTAGATATTTTATTGGTTGTGTTTCTTTTTACCTGCATGTATTATCCAAGACTTGTAATATCATACCTACTGATCAGTAAATTTAATACAATTTGATGTTTTAGCAGATACACTATCTTTGACTGGGCACATGATGTCCATACCATGATTACTGGCATAGTAAAGCTCTGTTAGTCCCACCAAATCATAAACCTAAAAAGTGTTTGGGAGTCAGACACTAATTACAATGAGAAATAATATGTACAAACAAAAAAGATAAAAAAAAAATGGGGTCAAGGAATGTAAGACTCTTACAAGATTTTGTATGGTATAATCTTCATTTTAATGTTTTTGTTTTTCGTTTTCATTTTCGTATTTTGTGTTTTTGAAAACAAATAATAATGAAAAAATTGACAAACACCTATGATTGCTGATGGGTGTCATTCAAGATATAAAATTAGCCACCTATCTTGTCACGACTTCTTCCACTAATGATTGCTATCAGAATATACTTTGCAACATCCATAACAGCAGAACACATCTGATAAGAGATAGTTTAACTTCAGTATGAACACTCTACTATACAAAAGGAACAAATAATCACACATATAAAGGTTAAGATACTGACCTCGTCAGACATGAAGACAAGATCAGGGTCATCTACAATTGGTGAAAGAGTCCCATCATAATCTAAAAACATCACCATTTGCTTATTCCTCACACGAGTTATGATTTTCTCAAAGGAGTTGAGGGCCGATGGATACCTCAGCTGCTCCACAAAGAAACAACAATATGGATAAAAGAATAATTTTAATTTTGATCAATCCTTAACAAATCTGCAATTTAGAGGATATAGAGACTTTAAGCCTACCATCCAGAAGCAATATCTAATATCACTATCATCTAAAGACACCTCAACATTGCAGTTTTTAAGTATCTTCTTGCTAGGAGGTGAAGAAGATTTAATGGCATCAAGCCAACCATTGGATTGAAAGTCATCAAGCTTTCTTGGTTTCTTTCTTGGAATTGTTAGCATGTCAGAAGAGAATGATGCTCCTGATTACGTGTATGACTCGAATGTATTCCAAGTTTAGACTTGTTTATCAGTATAGGATTAGTAAGAATAGGAGAAACATTTGTTGATTTCAAATCCATCTGGTCCAAATGACTTGCTGAAGGTTTTTACTACAAAGAAAAATGTATGATATATAATCGCTACTTGGTATGAAAGTGGGACTTGGTATATGCCAAATGTTGAATATTCTTCACCCAACCCTTTTGTCTATGAAAAACTTCCTCTTCAAAGTTTTCTTGTTGTTGCTGCTGGGTGGGCAGTCCATTAAGCACAAGCTTCGTGAAATCTGACAATAAAAACAACATATTAAATGAAAGACATAACTCTAGCTTCTTCTTCTTTTTTTTCCTTTTTTTTTTATTTCGTTTGACATTCAAAATAAATAATCAAACTACATCGTACCTCATCTCTGAAGGTACACATTGCATCTATAGACAAAGGCTACACATTAATTGTACAAGTTTTTCTAAGAACAGAGTGATGTATAGCCCCCAATGCCAGCCAAAATCAATGTCGTTTCTACCTGTAGCATGAAAAACAGAGTTCGGTCAATTTAATTTTTGCAACATCATAAATTGTCAGACATAAAATGCTAAAAAAACACTTTCTACGTACACAGTACTACTAGGAAGCACAATGATAGACCAAAATCACTCCAAGAAGGAATAATAACCGGAACAGATGTTCTTTGAATGCAAATTTGGTGAAATTTGTTCGAGATAGATGTTCTCTATTTTGTCAAGTATAGACTAAAAACAAAATGGTGACAAAATAGTAGTCCTGAACTACCATTATTTTTAATTTGTTCCAAAAGACGTAATTTTCCATTCCATTTAACAAATAGCTACTTCAATTTTGATAAAAGAATCTGAAGACACTTGACAAAATTCCCAAGGAAAATTACCTTGAAGGCATTAGAAAAAAAACTGATGGTTAAATTATAAACTTTTCCCTTCCATGTGTATCTAAATTAAGCATCATGCATTGGATACTCTGCAACAAACAGTGTGCACATAATACAAAACATGCTGCTTTTCTCCTTGTGCTCTTTGTTCCTGTGAAGAGCAAAGTCTGAAGCAAACCAGCCAATGCTGGTGCCTTCAACACCCTCTCAGTTGTAACTGTCCCACCACTCCGACACAACTCAAGCAAAGCTCCTACAACATTTTCTTTCCCTCTCGCTATCCCACACTGCATCATTCCTATTAATCCTGACACTGCCATTTCCTTATTCCCAACCGCTTCGGCCCCAATTGGCTACATAACAATCAAGGCCAATGCACCTGCTGATTCCTCTACAACTTCTTCAATCCCAAACAAGGTTTTAAAAAGCGGCCGCAACCGTTACGTAACGCCGTTACGTAACGGTTTTGGCGGTTACCGCCACCCGTTACGGCCGCTTTTGCAGTGTGATTGAGATTCACAGGTGTGTCGGCCGTTGCGGCTGCCGTAGCGGTCGTAACGGTGCCGTAACAGCCGTAACGACCTGTTGCACACCGTTACGTAACGGTTCCAAACTGTTTCTTTCGAAAAAACACACAAAAAAAGCTGAAAATAGGGGAAGATGGATAGAGAGAAAAGGGAAGATAAAGAGAGAAAATGGAGGAGCAAGAGATAGAGAGAGAGAAGAGGGAAGATGAAGAACATGTTATTGATTTGTTAAAAGTGTAAGACCCATGGTATTCTATTCAGCTGCTATCACTAAACTATTTTGTTTGTGTGTCTATCTATATATTGTTTGAAAATAATAATAATAATAATAAGTGTGGTCATTATCTATTTGGCTTGGTTAAAATATGTATATATATATATATATATATATTTAGGCTCTTATTTATTCTCTTACTTTTGTCATTATTTATCTTATATATAATACTTAGTGATTATTTTTTATATAATATAAAGTCATTAATTATTAAAATAAAATGTAAAAAACTCAGTTTATAGTTATTTAAAAAAATAAAATATATTGGATCATACTTAAAAATTTACAAAAATTGATCAATATTTATTTTTAACCCAATAAATATGATCATGCCAAAAAATATGTGTATCGGTAAGTTTTTTTCAAATTGTGCGAAAAATAAAAAAATTCACGGTTCCGGTTACCGCAACCGTTACACTACGGCCTTTACACCCCGCAACCGCAACCGCGTTACCGCCACCGTTACGGCGACCGCAACCGCTTTTCAGAACCTTGATCCCAAAGCTGCCACCAGCGCAGTTATAGCCCCTGGCTTTATCATCCTCGCACAATTATCAATATCATGTATCAAAATTTTACAATTCGAAACACTAATTTATTTTTCCATCATCTGATAAAAAGAGAGTTTTTGTCTCTTTGAGTGTCCTAGACTTATAGTCAACTGAGCAGTTTTAGGGCATTAGCTTTTTCAGACGCCATTAATTTAAAAAGATTGTTATTCGTAATATATGAAACTAAACATATAAAAGCATAATTTTGAGTAAAAGTACAGGTGAGGGTCGGAAATGGACTACGCAAATATTTAAAGAATTTCAAAAACCAAAACATAGAGCATCCAACATTAAACAAAAAAATATATAATATGAACATCCGAGTTTCCGAAACAACAATTATCGAAATAGGAATAAAAAAATATAAGAAAAGGGCAAGGCAATAAAGCGAAGAGCATGAAAAACTTTGACCTGGTTTGGTAAAAGAAGCAGAAGCAAAGAGAGACAAAGGAAGAGAGAGAGAGAGAGAGAAGAAGAAGAAGAAGAAGAAGAAGAAGAAGAAGAAGAAGAAACTGGGTGGGGGGAAGAGGAAGAGAGAGCAGATTTTTTGTTATGAAAATTGTATCCACCACACTTCATCCAAACACTTGAACCAAATCAAGGAAACACGAAATTCAACAAACCCACCGATCCAAATAATAAAAAAAACCACTAAAAGGGCACAACTACACATAGGCGCTAATAAATAAAAGACAAAAAACAACTTTAAAAAAGAAAAATTGTGGAACTAACAAATCCCAGAAAACCACAAGACCTTAAAAGCGAACTTATATTTGTAAACAAAACAAAAATGGTGAAATAGCATTTTCCTTTATTGAATTGAGCAAACAGTTACTAAAGTCTCCTATACCACATCACCTACCTTTCTCTTTTCTTTCTCTTTTTTTCCAAATTAGTTTGGTGGTTTGTGCCTAGTTTCACTTATTTAATTTTCTAACTTTCATTTTCTGAACTACTACTACTGCTGAAAATCCTGTCCTACTCTTTTGTTCCAATTTGTCACAAGGTAGGGATGTTTGGTTTCTCAATCTCGTAAGTCTTAATAACATCTGATTGACTTTGATGTCTAAAGGCACTCCTTTGGTTATTGTGATGTCTCATTAATTAAAAGAAAGTGGAGTTCTATTAATGAATTTGTCAAATATCATCTAGGTCATAACATAAGCATCTTTATGACTTAACACGAGCTTCTTGCAAACCAGTAAAAGTTAGATATCAAACAGAAACATGTCAATGCCTTCTCTAGTGTAAAAGAAATAAAGAAAGAAAGAAAAAAAGGAACTAAATTCTTCATCAGCTTTTCTTTTTTCGCTTGATCCCAAAAACAGTCCTTAGAATATTTCAAAGTGTTATGTGCCAACAATTGGGTTATCATTAAAGTAAACAAACAGGCAAAGTATTAGTATTTTAACACATTTTTTTACGCATCCTTCAACATTTTTACATATTTTTATACACTTTTCACACATTTTATACAATTTACAAGTTCATCAAGACTAATGACTGACCACCAGTTACACAAACATTAGCATTTCACCTTGTGAATATGCAATTTTACCCCACCACCATGAGAAGCACAAGAAAAATTCATAGAAAAGATAAAAATATCTTCAGTTCGCTAGATAAACCATCTAAAAATTAACTACAGATTTAACAAAGAGTGACAACAAACTCCCTGAAATCCAAACGAGTTCAAGGGCATTTTCATAATTTTCATCACTGGAATTTCAAGTTTTAAGATAATAAAAACAAAAAATGCTAAAAACAGTACCAAACAAGTCATAAATTTAGTGTTGATTCTTCATTATATTGGACCCAACAAACCAAAATCTATAAGTAACCAAGCTCAATTGAAGTAATACTATAAAAAGCACAAACAAGAAATGAGTTTTGTTATAAAAATAAAAAATTAAAAAAAAATCAAGAAAATTCAAAACCCTAATGAAATCAACACAAACATTGAAAACTCATTTCAACAAGAAGAAAATTAAGATATGTGAATCAAAAGAACAGTTATAAAACCCTAATAAAAAACAGCAAACACAAATATGATAGAGCCAAACAAATATTCAGAGAGAATGAAATTTGAGTATCAAATCAAAAATGAAGAAAGGGTTTGTACCTGAGGAGAGATTGATTGAAATGGGGAAAATCTAGAGAAAGAAACTACTTTTTGGAGAGAGAGAGAGAGAGAGAGAGAGGAATGGGGGGAAAGCACAGGGCGTGTTTGGGAATTTTGAAGAGGAAATTTCAAAAATTGAGTGAATGTGAGAGAGAGACAGAGAGACAGAGAGAGGGAAGGGGGGAGGGGAAAATCCAAACATACCTCAAGAATGGAACCGTCAATCGTCATCGTTGCCGAACTAGTCTTACCCCCGAAGAGAGAGCATTGTTCCAAGTCGAAGTCTCCACGGGCAGTAAGAGATAACGATGGAGTGGGACGCTGCTACCATTGCCCCTACTAGCCGCTGCTACTGACCGTCGCTCTATGCCACCCAAAAAAGGAGGGGAAATTTTGGGTGGAATTTTGGAAATAATTTGATATTTTATTTGTTTTTATTTATTTATTTATTTTGCAGACATGGCAAATGAGCGGCTTTGAAGGAGTCAAAATTGCTTTTGTATTAAAATTTTGTTTCAATTTTTGAAATTTTTTTTTTTGAGTTTTTAATTAGTATTTTTTTATTTTTAGTAATTTTTTAATATTTTAATCAACTAAAATATGATTAAAATTCACTAAAAACTAAAAAAATAAGGATTGAAAATTAAAAAATAGTTTTTGAAAACTGAAACCAAACAAAATCGATTCAAACCCACCTATTTAATAATGTGGTTTAAATGGGTTCGGTGGAGGTGGAGTGCTAGTGGTGGTGGTAGAGGAGTGGTGGTGGTAGTGGAACGATAGCGGTGGAAGTGGGGTGGTGGCAACAGTGGTAGAAAAGTAAGGCAGTTGTAGTGGAAGAAAAATGGTAGCGGCGGCGGTGGTAATGGTAGTGGTGGGGCAATGGTAGTGGTGGTGGTGGTGGTGGTGGTGGTGGAAATAGTAGAGAGGTGATGGTGGTAGTGGTGGTGATGCAGTGGCAAGGGCGGTGGTTGTAGAGTAGCAGCAGCTGTGGTAATGGTGGTGCTGAAGTAGTAGTAGTGGTGGTGTAAAGGTGATGGTGGTAGTGGTGGTAAAGTGCCGGTAGTGGCAGCAGTGGTAGTGGTGGTAGAAGAGAGTTAGTGGCGACAGTGCTAGAGTGGTGATGGCGATGGTGGAAGATAGGTGGCGGTAGTAGTGACAGTAATGGTAGAGTGATAGCGGTAGTAGAGTAGTAACAGTAGTGAAGTAGTGGCGGCAGTGGTAGAGTGTTGATGGCGGTAGTGGAAGATAGGTGGTGGTAGTAGTGATAGTAGTGGTGGAGTGACAATGGTAGTGGAGTAGTGGCGACAGTGGTTGTGGAGTAGTGGCTATTGAGGCGATAGAAGTGGAGGAGAGGTGGTGGTGGAGTGGTGGCAGCAGTAGTGGCGGTGGTAATGGATCCGTGGTGGCAAAGATGATGGTGGTATTGGAGTGGTGGTAGTGGTGGTAGAAAAATCCATTTAAACATATACTCATGTCTAATCCAAAGAGGACTTTGCAAAATAGGAACTGATTTGGAGAAACAAAAAGGGCTTCTCACTTATAGCATGAAATGACGTTGTTTTGCATAATAAAACTAGAGGAGACGAAATTATTTCCTCACAGAAAATTTTGTATAATGGTGACGAAAATTTTCGTCTCTAAAATGGCGCTCAAATATTCCGTGAATTTTTCCAAGGACAAGAATTTTTTTTGCAACGAAAAATAAAATATAGAGATGAAAAAAAATTTCGTCACCTATTGTTTTATTGATTTTAAGCATTTGCTGACGAAATTTAGTTTTTCTCGCTAAAAATACTACAAATGGAGACGAAATCTTACTTTTAACTCTAAAACATGTATATTTGGAGACGAAATTTTTTTTCATCATGCGTTTTCGTCACCAAAGACCTTTTTTGTTGTAGTGTAAGAACTAGTTATAATGCTTATAGAT